CAACCTCTCCTTCCCCCTTGCTGGATCAAGACGGAGGAGACGTCACGCTGACCGTACATGTGTTGAACGCGGAGGTGCCGCCCGTTTGGCGCTAGGATCTCCGGTGATAGGATCACGACGAGAACGACTACCTCAACCCCGTTCTCTTGAACGCTTCCGCACGCGATATACAAGGGTATGTAGATGCATCTCTCTCTCTCGTTGCTAGATGAACTCATAGATGGATCTTGGTGAACGTAGGAAATTTTTTATTTTATGCAACATTCCCCAATAGTAAGTAACAGGTAATTTACTTTCACGTGCTTCCTTTGCATAAAGAATGCCTTACCCGCCGCAATCCTTTTCATCGCCTCAATTTCCTAGAGGGCTTTCTGGGCTTCGGCCTTGGCAGATTTGGCGCTTTCAAGTGCCGAGGCAAGCTCGGACTCTTGAGTCTTCGAGTCAAGCTCTAAACTCTCATGTTTTTTCACAAGAGCATTGAGCTCTTGCCGCACCTCCGCCACATGCGCCTCTTGTTTCTCTCGCTCGGAGCGCTCCATCACCGCATTATCTTCGGCCTTGGAAAGCGCTTCCTTCAGGGTCACCACCTCGGTTGTGGCCCCTGTAACATTCACGTTGGTCTTGTCATTACTTGCAACCAGGTATTTATATATACACTTACATAAGGTACTATATACCTTCTTTGTCCTCGAGCTTCTTCTTGGCAAGGCCGAGCTCGTTCTCGGACCGCTCGAGGCTCTGCCTCAATGCATCAACCTCCGCAGTCAGTGCGGCAGAGGTCAGCAGCGCAGCCTGCATTCCCATTTGACATATTTATGTTAGACTCCTGCGTATATCTTTTTTCGATCCTCAGTCCGGCTTTTCTTTCTGAACACCAGACTGAGCATCAGGGGCTACTGTCTATGCGGTAACATTTTTATATGTTTTAAATACATACCTCAAAGCCTGTTAGAAGGCTGGTACAGGCTTCTGTCAGCCCGCTCTTGGTGGACTGAACCTTCTGAATCACCGCACTCATAACAGTGCGGTGCTCCTCGTCCATGGAGGCGCCGTTAAGTACCTCCAGCAAATTGTCCGGCGCCTCTGGTTGGACGGAGGCTGCCGGCGTCGTAGGCTTGCCCTTCTTGCGAGGGGGGCGCCTACCGGACTCCGGAATCACTGAAGGTTCCGGAACGGTGTCCGGCCCAGGGCCGGACTTAGATCCCTCTGGGGCTTCATCCCCTTTGGGCCTGGAGTCCGGGAGGTCGCCTTGCGGCGCCTCCAGGACCACCTCCTCCTGGTTTAGCCCCTTTTGGGACTCCACCTCGGCATCGTCCGTAGGGCGAGGGGAGGAGGCCGTCGGGAGTGAAGCGCTATTCACATCCGACGAAGCCAGGGAGCCGCTCGACGAATCACCGAGCTGAGCCTTGGGCGGACTGCATGATTGAATTTGGTGTCAGAAGGTACTGTACAATAGGGGAACGCCATAAATTATTCTGGTATCCGGATACTTACGATTTTGCCAGGGGCTTGGCCCCGGATGGCCATTCCTCTCCGCCGTCGTCGGCGTCGGAGGCGTAGTCTGGAAGAAGGGTCTTCCCCTTCTTGGACCCTCCGGCCTCCCTAGTTGGGGCGGCCTTCCTTTTCTTTCCTCCCCCCGTTGGAGGGGGAGAGGCTTCTTCTTCCTCCTCCTCGTCTTCAGAGGCGGAGTGCGCTTCGGGGTCGTCGGGCGATGAATCCGACACCACCAGGCGCCGGGAACTCTTTGGAGTCCTCGTGGCCTTTTTCTTGGCCTTCTTCTCTGGCACCAGGTGAGGTGCCGGAACCAGCAGCTTTGCCAAGCGGGCGTCTGCTGGGCCTTCGGGCAAAGGAGCCGGACAGTCGATCTGTCCGGCCTTCTTCTGACAGTCCTGTTAAAGGAATGGGAGTTTAGATCCCGCATAGAGTCAAACTATGAAAAACAAGTATCCTGTAATGGGTAAACTAAGCTTACCGCGCTGGCTTGGCGCTTCGCGCAGAATCCGCGATCCTCGGTAATGGGAGGGTGAACCTTGGAGCTCTTGAAAAGCACCTTCCAGGCATCTTCGTGCGTTGTGTCGAAGAGCCTGGACAAAGTTTGGTGCTGGGCTGGATCGAATTCCCACAAATTAAAAGCCCGTCGTTGACACGGGAGGATCCGGCAGAAGAGCATGACCTAGACTACGGTGACAAGTTTCACCTTCCTATCGATCAGGTCACTGACGCAGGTTTGGAGTCCGGTCACCTCTGCCGAATTACCCCACGATAGGCCCGTCTTTTTCCATGAGGTGAGCCATGTGGGGATGCCAGATCGGAACTCGGGGGCCGCTGCCCATTCAGGGTCACGTGGTTCGGTGATGTAGAACCATCCCGATTGCCACCCTTTGATGGTTTCCAAAAGGAGCCCTCGAGCCATGTGACGTTGGCCATCTTGCCCACCATGGCGCCTCTGCACTCCACTTGTCGGCCGCCCACGACTTTCGGCTTGACATTAAAGGTCTTCAGCCATAAGGTGAAGTGGGGCTGGATGCGGAGGAAGATCTCACACACGACGATAAACGCCGAGATGTTGAGGATGAAGTTCGGGGCCAGATCATGGAAATCCAGGCCGTAGTAGAACATGAGCCCCAGGACAAATGGGTGAAGAGGAAAGCCCAGTCCGCGGAGGAAATGGGGGAGAAACACGACCCTCTCATAGGGCCTAGGGGTGGGGATGAGTTGCCCCTCATCTGGGAGCCGGTGCGCGATGTCGTCAGACAAGTATCCGGCCTTCCTCAACTTTTTGATGTGCCCCTCCGTAACGGTGGAGGCCATCCATCTACCTCCTGCTTCGGACATGATTGGAGAAGGTTGAGGTGGGAAGTGCGGACTTGGGCGCTGGAGCTCGAGTGCGCGGAAATGGATAAGCAAAGGAGGAAGAAGGCGTAGATTGAAAGGGTGAATTCTTATCCCCTTATATGGGCGGCCGAAACTGCGTGCCCCCACCAGCCTAGTAAAGCTCGCTTATCTCCCAAGCGCCGCGATTGATGGCGCGGTTGGGTTACCCACGCCCGTATTGATGAGAATCCCGGAATAAGGGGACACGATCTCTGCTTTGACGAGACGTGCCAAGGAAACCGCCTCGCTAAACACGCTGAGGTGGGACAGTAAAACGATTCGAATGAAGGCTTGGCTGTGGCATGACGTCACGCTACGGAATACGTCAGCAGATTAGATTTGTGCAGATATCATTCTCTCTGCGGTGGTATGTGGAACTTATTTTACAGAGCCGGACACTATCCTTGTGTTCAACATCTTCTATGAAGTATTCGGAGGAGGAACCCGCCTTGCAATGCCGAAGACAAATTTGCGCGCCGGACTCGTCGTCATTGAAGCCTGGTTCAGGGGCTACTGAGGGAGTCCTGGATTAGGGGGTGTCCGGATGGCCGGCTATGACCTTTGGCCGGACTCCCAGACTATGAAGATACAAGATTGAAGACTTCGTCCCGTGTCCGGATAGGACTTTCCTTGGCGTAGAAGGCAAGCTTGGCGATACGATATGTAGATCTCCTACCATTGTAACCGACTCTATGTAACCCTAGCCCTCTCCGGTGTCTATATAAATCGGAGAGGTTTAGTCCGTAGGACGAACAACAATCATACCATAGGCTAGCTTCTAGGGTTTAGCCTCTCTGATCTCGTGGTAGATCCACTCTTGTACTACCCATATCATCAATATTAATCAAGCAGGAGTAGGGTTTTACCTCCATCGAGAGGGCCCGAACCTGGATAAAAACATCGTGTCCCTTGTCTCCTGTTACCATCCGCCTAGACGCACAGTTCGGGACCCCTACCCGAGATCCGCCAGTTTTGACACCGACAAGGACCAACGAAGGAATTGAACGCAAAATTCACTTGAACTAGCCCCGGCTTGATATATTACAAAGATAATAGCGAGTACAACTTGGTTCGAGGATCAAATCCAAATTCTACAGAGATAACTAGGGTTCTATAGCTACGCTAGATATTACAGTCTTGTAGAATGGGGAAAAGATGCGCCTGGAGGCTTGGAGAGGGGGGTTTAATAGCTGGCAGAGCCAGGGGTGTCACCGTCGCCAGCCGTTCGTTCCGTTACTGTAGCCTTTCCAGAGAGTGGCGGCAACGGCGTGACTGTGAACAAGAGAGCAGTTAGCCGTTGATCGCCCGAACGTTTCATCTACGCCGTCCATTTCCCTAGCAGATAACGATTCGGTCTCGCTGTCGATTTCTTCAGAGTTGCTGTTTCTTTCTTCAGTTAAGCCGTGCAGAGAAGCGGGGTCCTGATAGAGGCGATTCTTTCTTTCTACATGAATTTGTCAGACGACCTCACCTGACAAGAACGCAACACATTACCATGCCAATTTTCTAACTCGAGGGCATTCACATTGTGGATTTCTGATTTAGTTTTTCGTCAAATTACGGTGAAATTAACTACTATTTCAGTTTTCAAAATTTGGTTGAATTTCGTTGAATCTGGTTCCAGTTTCAACGAAATTCAACCAAATTTTGAATTTTGCCTAGATGGTATCAAAGTGTCGCCGCCTTGAGACAAAAAGTCAGCAAAATTACCCTCACGTTCATGAGATCGATCATTCTAAGTGTAGTGTACTTAGCAACTACTCCCTTCATTCGGAATTACTCGTCCAAAAAATGAATGTATCTAGATGTATTTTAGTTATAGATACATCCATTTTTGTGACAAGTAATTCCAAATGGAGGGAGTATGTTTCAGACTAGAGTTCATGCATGAGTTTTAACTGGAACAAACGAATCAAGCACGAATCATGCATAAGTTCTCTGTAAACTAATATAAAAGCGTTTAGATAACTAAAATAGTGATCTAAATGCTTTTATATTAGTTTACGGAGGGAGTTTACGGAGGGATACTTAGAAACTGAGTCCAACACAAACTTCGCATGTCCAAGCTTAAGATAGTTGGCCAAGAAGAACACACACACGCGGTTGGAATTGGAGCTGCCACAGAATCAAGCTTGAACGGGGTTAATAATGTCGTGGGCGGTGACAGGGGCGAAGAGCATGTGGGCGTGCGGGGTGAGGTCCTTGTGCGCCTCCTTGATGGTGCCCTCGGCGACGCCGGTGGCGACGGACACGTCCTTGACGGAGTTGGTGGCGCCGGCGCGCTGCACGACCATGTAGATGACGGCGGCGGCGATGGACTCGGGGTTGCGGCGGACGTCGAGGCGCTCCTCGAGCCTGCGCACGGCCTCCTGCGCGTCGCGCACCTCCTGGTTGCCCAGCCCGAGCCGCGAGCAGAAGCGGCGCAGGTAGTCGGAGGCGCTCACCACGCCGATGTCCATCACCTGGCCGTCCTCCTCGCCGAGCAGCTTCTTGATGTGCGTCGACATCTTGCCGATGTCCTTCTTGGCGGCCGGCCCCGCGGCCGTGACGGAGGCGAGCTCCTTGTAGGTGCGCGGCATGCCGAGGTTGCGGCAGGCGATGTAGAGGCAGGCGGCGTAGACCGAGTCGCGGTTCCGGCCGCGCGGGACGCCCTTGGCCTCGTCCAGCTTCTTGAACGTCTCCTTGGCGTGGTCCCGGATGGTGGCGACGAGGCCGAGCCGGTCGGCCATGTCCCCGATGCCGCGGAAGCCGTCGACGAGGGTCACCGCGCCGGCGCCGTCGCCGGGCACGGACGTCCGCGGCAGGGCGTTGGCCTCGCCGGAGGACTTGCCGGGCTTCTTGTCGTAGGCGATGACGGTGGAGAGCTTGGTGTTGAGGAAGGGGTCCCCGGAGGCGCCGACGCGGCTGGGGTCGCGGTCCTCGCCGCCGCCGTCGGCGGCGAAGCTGCGCCACTCGGAGCCCTCGTCGATGTAGTGCGCGTCGAGGACGAGCGCGCACTCGGTGCAGATGGTGTCGCCGGTGCCGTGGTCCAGCACCACCTCCGTCGCGCGGCGGCAGTCCGGGCAGTAGACGCGCTCGTCGGCGCCGGTGGGCATCGTGGCGCGAGAAACTCTCGGGGCTTGGTTGCGGCGGCGGCGGCGGCGGCGGCTCGGGGAAAGTGCTGGGGGAAAGGGTTTGGGAAGCTGGGGCGGCTGGTATTTAAAGGCTGATAGGTCGGTGCGGGCAGTGGGCGTGCGCGCCACGGACCCGGAAGCGACTTCGACTCGTTTTGTGCACGGACGCGGCACGCTTTAAATTCACCGTATGATTTTTTTTTCAAGGAAAAACGCTTGGGAACCCTAATTGATCGTTGATGCGCATTGGCTGCCTCAGCAATCGTCCGATTAGAGCGTAGTACATTTTAAAGCCAATAATCGATTATGTCATGCCATCTACAGACAACGCAGTACATTTTAATTGTGTATTATTTTAAAAATAAATTTGTCTATACAACATCTAGATGTGAGATATTATCTCACATCTAAGTCATCACATCAGAGATCCTGTTGAACTACAGCTCCTACCACGACAACCAGCTGACATTACTGGAACAGAAGACGGTTAAGAACAAGAAAACCGTTTAGATTAGACAATATGTTTGAATTTTTTTGAACCTTTTTTTACAGACAGTGATCTTTTTTCTGAAATGTCAAATATTTTTTTAAACAAAAACATGTTTAAATTTTCTATAAAGTACTTTTCAAATGTGAATAAAATTTATAATTTCGATTTTAATTAAAAAAAGAACAAAAATTGGTATTCTAAACAATTTCTTCTCGAACAAAATATGAAAACATAGGCAATTTTTGAAAATCTTTGAACAATTAAGAGAGTGTGGGCACTTTTGAAAATTCCAAACATTTTCTGGAAAACATGAATAAATTTATTATTTTTTATGTTAATTAAAAATCAATAATTTTTTTGTACCATTTCAAAAATGTTTCAAGCATTTCAAACAAAACATTTTGATGTTTCAAAAAAATGTATTATACAGTGGAAAAAAATCCTAACATACAAAGAAATGTTCGTGACAATTTTGTAAAAGAAACTTCACGCATTTCAAAAAATGATCAGTAGGAATTTGAAAAATGATTACATTCTATAAAAAAATGAATGGGCATGTATTTGAAAAATATTCAGGATGTATTTAACAAACATGTTCAAAGTGTGTTAGAAAATGTTCCCGTGTATATAGAAAAATATACAATTGCATTACAAAAGTGGTTATGTATTTGTAAAAAAAAACATACAACTATATAGGGGTACTAGGTTGGGAACGAGTGAGTTGCGTGCCAAGGGTGGACATACAACTATGTAGGGTATGAGTTGCATGTTTGCCTTGGACATGCCGCTGGGTTGGGTGGGTTTACATGTTGGGGTTGGACATGAAACTAGATAGGGGTCGAGGCAAGTTGCGTGTTGAAAAACAAGGAATAAGCCTAGTTCCGAGTCAAAGGGTGGGCTTGCAACTAGAAGAACTACGAGCTGAGTTGCGTATTGATGATGGACTTACAATTGGGACACTACAAACTATGATACCAGTTGCGAGTCAAGGGTCGACTTGCAACTAGGATAAAACAAACTACGGTTTCAATTATGAGTCATTGATGGACTTGCACATAGGATGAAAGACAAAAACATAGGCTCAGTTGTGAGTCAAGGGTGGGCTTGCAACTGGGATAAAACAAACTACGTGCCTAGTTGCGAGTCGAGAGTGGACTTGTAACTGTGACAAGTATGTAAAATAATGATAAAAGTTGCGAGTTGAGAGTGGACTTGCAAATGAGATAAAAAACAAGACACACACTGGTTGCGAGTCGAGGGTGGACTTGTAACTGGGACAACAAGAAATTATGGGCCCAGTTGCGAGTCGAGGATGGACTTGCAACTGGGACAATAACAAACTATGATCCCAATTGCGAGTCGGTGATGGACCTGCAATTAAGATAACTATGAAGCAATGAGCCCAGTTGCGAGTCAAGGATCGACATGCAATTGGGATGAAACAAACTAGGGATCGCCTGGAACTCATTCGACTGAGAAATAGATTGGTCTCAGTCGAATGACGTGGTGATGACGTCGTGTGCTATTTGTCTCAGCCCGATCATCTGGCAGGCCCGAGCCAGCCTCCTTTCTCTCCCGCACAAAGCCCAATTGGGCCGAATCCAATCCCAGGCCCTTTGTTCTGTTGTTATTTGTGGGCCTTTTGGCTTGTTTGTTTTGATTGTTCTTTTTGGGCCTTTTTGACTAAAAGGTTGTTCTTGCTTTACAAAAAAATAGAAAAAGACAAAATAAAGCCCTTGCCCAGCTGTACAAGATCAAAAAAGCTGCGTTGCTTTTTGTTCCTCCCTGTTCCTCTCCTGATCGCAGCACATGTCCCAGCCCCCAACCACCCCCACTCCTCCTCCTTCCTCCTCCAGCCCCAGCCGCCAGGGCACAAACCTTTCCCCTCAAAAATGGCAATGTGAGCAGAGGAAGGAAGCTGATATGGTCGAAGAAGGCAAGGAGAAGCAAGGAGCAGAGAGAGAAGACAAGAAAAACATGGATGCAGGCAAGGAGAAGCAAGGAGCAGGAACAGATCAGAGGGCACAAATCACTCACCAGGGTATGCATGCTTCTCCCCTCTCCAGATCTAGGATTCTTGTCTCTCCTTGCCCAGATCATGCATTCTTGTCTCTGTTCTTGTACTATCTTGCCCTTTTATTCTTCAGAATTCTATTGTGAAAACACAAAAAGGCAAAAAAGAAAGTCAATAATAAACATACAGAACAACCCCCATAGGAGCAAATTCGTAAAAAACATGGAGCTTTCTTCCTAGGTGATGCATCCTTCATATACCTGACAAAGAAACTCTTGACATTGATTGCAGCTGTTCTTGATCCGTATGGAGCTACTATGTTTGGTTCTCAGGTTAGTGACTACAAAAAAAAGCAAATGAAATTTAAATGAACTTCTGAATCTTGCTTGAACTATTCTGGTTATTTGGTTACGAAAATTTCATGTCTGATCTTTTGTACTATTATGGGGAAACACATAAAAACACAGGGGGGGCAAAATAGCCAACAGCAACAGTGGCTGAATTCTGATGCTTGGAACCAAGGGATGCAACATACACACCCCTGGATGCAAAATCAGAGGCTTCCACATGCTTCTATTAACAGAACACAAAGGAATGCCCTGAATATTCCAGTGAGTGCAATTATGTATGGTATCTTCAATAGTCAAGGCAATACACAGGTATTTCTGTGCTCTTTGAAAAAATTGCTTTTCAAATTGTCAGTAGACATTTCTGTTAATGTTAAAACTTCTTTGTGCAGGCAAACTTGCATGTGAACCTGGGTGCACATACTTCAGTGGGTGAGTACAACCAAGTGTCTGCTGTGCTCCAACCCCCTGTAAGTGTTTACAGTCTAGAGAAAATGGGATAAAAAAAGAAAATCTACTATGATTGTTTTACAAGAAATAATGATGCAGGCAAACAAGGTCGCTTATGAAGCCCCTATGTCATACATGCAACTCCTACTTGCTGCTGAAGAAGAGGTTCTCTACTAACATACTCGTGTTTGCTTGACGTACATAAAAATTGTACTAACTTACGAAAATAAACCCACAAACATAAAAAACATCAAACAAAAACGAAACTAACTAGTGTTGTCTTACTTTTCAGGGTGCTAGAAATGCATCATCTCAATCACAAGAAGATCGCCTTGTTCGTACTGAGGTATGTTTTTTCCTACTTAAACTTGTGTCTATGTCCCCTAAACAAAAATTGTTTGACTGCTGTGTATAACTATAAAAAAAACTCTCTACAGAATGATATGTACATGATAACTGGGCGATACAGTGTATCTTCAGAAGATCCATTCCAAGCACATGCTGGCAGTGGAGCTCAGCATACATCTGAAGTCGATGACCAGCATGATATAGATCTTGAACCTTTTGTTGACAATCGATTTTCAGAAAGCTTGAATGATTTGAACTAGGACAATGAAATGCAGACAGAAGCAGGAGGAAACAAAAACGTCTCTATGGTGTCAAATGAGATTGCTTCTGACAATGATTCTGATTCCGAGGATGATCTTTCTTCGTCGTTGTTGCAAAATGCCTATGAAATTGCTGTTACAACTGTTGGAGAACAAGAGAATAGTGGTACAGCTGGTGAAGTTCAAAAATTAACACAGGAAGACATACTGATATTCCTTGAAAATGACAGTATAGAAGCCGCTCAAAGTGCTAGCCAAGAAGTGTGCAGCCATCACGTACCTCATGTGGACATGTTCTTTGATACGGATGATGCAGCTTACAACTTTTACAATGAGTATGCCTCAATTGCTGGTTTTTCTGTGATTAAAGCATCTCACTATTGTGGCAAGAAACAAGGAGGCAGTGCAGCAACTCGGGTAACTTTCAAGTGCAATCG